AAAAGAAATTTCCAATAATTTAGTTCATTTTATAGTACGAAAATTATAATTTTAGTTTAGATGAACTAAATATGTGAGAGTATTTTCAAGATACTCTTTATTTACAAAAGATTATATTTAATAATTTAGAAAGCATTTATAAACTTAAAGAATAAAAATTTAAAATTCTCCAGTAATATCTTTATCTTTAACACTTAATTTTACTACTCTCTCTATATGTTTATTTTCACCAATAATTTGTGGACGTTAATGGTTCTCGATTGAATTATTTGTCTATATCAAGTAGTAAAACCCGATAATTTGCCAAGAAGATAAGATATATACTTCTATATTTATTGTGAGTGTTAAATGGATTTCTTGGTCAATATTGCTTCTTGTACTTTCTATAGATTACATAGAGTTTGACATTCTTTACAAATTCAAAATGTATTTGGCGAGAAAGTGTGTTGAATTCAAAAACTGTTGAATCATGTGCCGCCACGTGAAACGGTGTCAAAGATGGTGTAAAAGATAATGTACAAGTAGCATGGTCCTTTCTTGGTGGATTAATGCATTCATTTAGGCTAACATTCACGTAGAGATTTAGTGGTTACTTATTTAAATAGAATTCATTTTTCTTGAGAGATGTTTTCAATTAATTTTGAAATATTTGACTAGATACACGTGTCAATTTATTTTGTTGCTTTGGAGGTAAAATCAATTGCTATGTGAAATGTTGGCCCTAGAATATTTGCTCATCAAATTAATTTTTCAAAATTGAGATTGTCCACTACAAAAACCTTTAATCATTTTTTTTATTTTAACAATAGCTGAACAATTAAAATAATTCAATTGATATTCTTTATTTGTCAAATATAAGTTATATATATTAAAATCAATAATTGACTAGTATAGTTTTCATTGGATGATAATCTAAGCTCATAAAGTAATGTTATTAAACTCGGTTCGGCGCGGATCGATCAAGGGCCCGAGTCTCCAATAATAAAATAATTTCGTAATTATTTTTATCTTTAACACTTAATTTTACTACTCTCCGTATATATTTATTTTCACCACCTTCCCTCAAAATTATTTTATTATTTCTCTCCATTTTCTTTGTATATATTATTTATTTGAGTCATTAAATAGAGCATTGCAAATTTGAATATTTTGAACACATTTAGTTATAGATAATTGATTTGGCTCTCTACATTTGATAATTAAAATAGAAATAGAGGAAATTATACCATCATAGAATTAAATTTATCTTTTTAAAATTCTTAAACTCATGTATATAAGAAACCTCACCTCACCTCACCTCATCCCACTCCATCATTTAATCCATTTCTTTCCCTATTTTCCAGATCCAAACCCAACGCCTCTCCACTGCTGCCTTCACACCACCGCCATCGAAGTACATATCAGGTTGCCAGCGACAGATCTAAGTGGTCCATCGACAGATCTATGATTTTCTTTATTTAATTCTCTGAATTTTATCGATATACATAGAGATTATACAATTTGTTGGCGGTGATGATAAGCTTTAATCCCACCAAATTATGCAACCTTCTTTGTGTAAGGTCTGCCAAAATACTCCATCTAACATCTTTCTGAGTTTCTCACCTTTACACGATTGAAAGAAAATTGCCTCAGAATTATGCATCCTCGAGAACCCCATATTGAAATGTCAACAAAAAAAGGAACTGCAAGGATTGGTATGGAAGGTATAGGAAATAAGGTACGCCTATATATTAACTTGATTTTCTGGATGCCCTTTTTCAAATTCTTCAGCCGTAATATTTTAATACAAATTATATTTCATTTTCATATAGTACTTTGCTGATACTCCTGCCTTGTGTATTCATAGAGCCAAACTATTTTGCCGATACATTTCATTTTCATATAGTACTTTGCTGATACTCCTGCCATGATATGGTCCGCAACGGACCATCATGGTCCGCGTGTGTTCATAGAGCCAAACTATTTTGCTGATACATTTCATTTTCATATAGTACTTTGCTGATACTCCTGCCATGATATGGTCCGCAACGGACCACCATGGTCCGTTACGGACCATATGGTCCGGACCCGGACCATTTGGCCTGGTCTGGACCGGCAATGAGTCCGAATTTTTTTTTATTTTTTATTTTCTGAATTTATTTTAATTTTTATGTTAAAAAATGTAATTAAATATGAAATAAATAATATATATATTAAGATAATTAATGAAATATTTAAAGATAAATTAAATATAATTTTAATTTTTTTCTTTTTTATTTAAATATATGTTTAGTAATTAAATATACGTTTCAAATAAATAATTGAAATAGAGTAATTAAATATGAAATAAATAATATACATTTTAAGATAACTAAAATAATTAATTATGGAAACAATTAATATAATTAATTGAAAAAAGACTTAAATGAAAAATCGAATAAATATTATTATTTTTATTCAAATAAATAATCGAAAGAGAGTAATTAAATATGAAATAAATAATATATATATTAAGACAATTAACAAAATATTTAAAGAATAAATTAAATTGAATAATATTTTTTTACTTAACCAATTAATTTAATTAATTAAAGAAATACTTAAATGAAACATCGAATTACATATTATTATTTTTATTCAAATAAATGATCGGAATAGAGTAATTAAATATGAAATAAATAATAAATATATTAAGACAATTAACGAAATATTTAAAGATAAATTAAATAGAATTTTAATTTTTTTCTTTTTTACTTAAATATATGTTTAGTAATTAAATATACGTTTCAAATAAATAATCGAAATAGAGTAATTAAATATGAAATAAATAATATACATTTTAAGACAATTAAAGTAATTAATTATGGAAACAATTAATATAATTAATTAAAGAAATACTTAAATGAAAAATCGAATTAAATATTATTATTTTTATTCAAATAAATAATCGAAATAGAGTAACTAAATATGAAATAAATAATATACATAATTAACGAAATATTTAAAGAATAAATTAAATTGAATAATAATTTTTTTACTTAACGAATTAAGATAATTAATTAACGAAACAGTTAAATGAAAAATTGAATTAAATATTATTATTTTAATTCAAATAAATAATCGAAATAGAGTAATTAAATATGAAATAAATAATATACATAATTAACGAAATATTTAAAGAGTAAATTAAATTGAATAATAATTTTTTTACTTAATCAATTAAGATAATTAATTAAAAAAATAGTAAAATGAAAAATTGAATTAAATATTGTTATTTTTATTCAAATAAATAATTAAAATAGAATAATTAAATATGAAATAAATAATATACATAATTAAGGAAATATTTAAAGAATAAATTAAATTGAATAATAATTTTTTTACTTAACCAATTAAGATAATTAATTAAAGAAATAGTTAAATAAAAAATTGAATTAAATATTATTATTTTTATTCAAATAAATAATCGAAATAAAGTAATTAAATAAGAAATAACTAATATACATAATTAACGAAATATTTAAAGAATAAATTAAATTGAATAATAATTTTTTTACTTAACCAATTAAGATAATTAATTAAAGAAATAGTAAAATAAGAAATTGAATTCAAATAAATAATCGAAATAGAATAATTAAATATGAAATAAATAATATATATATATTCAGATAATTAACAAAATATAATTTTTAAAGAAATATTAAATAATCAAATATGTGGGAATTTTTTTGTTTAACTGTATTAATATATGAGTGGATTAATCTATTTATTGTTTTATTAATATGAAATCTGATTTGTTAAATTTAAAGATACGATATTTTATTTATAATCTCTTGTATATGATTTTAACTAGGAGTGTAAGCAGTTTTAAATCGGTTTTTGACAAATTTTCAAACCAAACCGTTTAAAACGATTTGAGAAAAATCCAAACCTAAACCAAACCATTTTGAACGATTTGGAAAAAACTCAAACCTAAACCTAACGGTTTGGTCCAGTTTTAAACTGCCGGTTTCGCCATATATTTTTTTGTCCGTCCACTTTTATTTCATTAATTCATTGAATTTAATATATATTTATATCTCACTAGTAATAAATCTAAAACAAACTAAGCCCCTGTTTGAACCAAATTTTTGGGACAAAAAAATAAAAATTTGAATCGTTATTCCACAAGTCCAACCGCCTTTGTTGACCTGCTATTTCATGTGTGGGACCCAACCTCCTCTCCAATAGTCAATTTTCTCATTATGATGATATGGAAAATATGGCTCAAATAGAGGCTAAATGTATCTACTATAAATTTAAATATTAACTAAATCAAAGTGAAATCATAATAAACTGAAACATAGTTGTTTTTTTTTTATTCATTTTTGTTTACCCTTTTTAGGTTAATGACGATACAATAACGTTACAATACAAGTCTACTAAACTAGATATAAGGTCCAAAAAATATAATGATGTCCAACAAAACCTCGTGATCATCATATCTGAAAAAAAGATATTGATTAAACAAATAAAATAACCAACTACAATAATAAAGCAATTGCTTATAATATCTAAACATAACAATTAATTACACAAGTTTACGTTTGTGCGATATTACGAAACACATTTAATTTCAGATTCTTACCTTAGTTTGCTCCAAAAAACTATTGATCTGAAACTTTGTTTGTAGCAAATATTATCACCGAAGGTCTAAGATTTCTTTGTCTTCGATTTGGTATAATGGACTTCAATTCGACTTTGAAGAGGCGTGAAAAATCTGAAAAGAAGTGTGTGATGCCGGTGGCTCAAAACTGTGTTGGGTGTCGACTGGAGTTCATATAAATTTTGAAGAGGAAAAAGAATTTTGATAGATTATGTTAGTCTTAAAATTATTAAATATATATTTGGATTATTGGATGATGATGATGATGATAATAATAATATATCTGTAAAAATACTCACAAATGACAAAACTATTGAATATTAAAATTCTTAAACTTAAATCAAACCATTTTGACCGGTTTGGTTTGGGTCAAAACCATTTCGTTGACCGGGTTTACATGGCACCAAACCGGCGGTTTGTAAAATGCGATTTCAATTCGATTTTTCGGTTTTGCGATTTTTGCTTACAGCCCTAGTTTTAACATGTATTATTTTTGTCGGATGAAATATCATATGTACAACGATCTGAGAGCTCATTTGGGAAAAGTTACGACGTATTGTAACTTTTCCAACTATGTGACAGTGATTGAGGGGCTGGACGAGGAGTATATCGACATACTCCATCGATCAATTTTATAGTCCTTCTATCCGTTGAAGGACGTGCAGTTCTCCGGATAGATTATTGATTCCTTATTACTCCGGCTGCTTAAACTAGACGATGGCGATCAGCTTTATTTTGCTATGGGGGATGGGAAGGTATCGAGATTCTCGATGCTTGAATTTGCCCTCATTACAGGCATAAGATGTGCTGGAGAAGAAGAAGCAAGAGCTCGTATTATACCAAATAAAAGGTTATTGGATTTATATTTTGGAGGTAAAGGGCTGGTTACACCACCACAGTTAGAAGACGCATTTAGGAGATACGATCACTTGTTAGACAAGCTGAAGTTAGGATTGGTGTATATATTGGAGAGTATATTGAGGTGCCGACATCATAGGACGTCGATTGACCTTTTTTCATTGGATGTTGTTGATTATATCGTTGCTTTAAACAGCTTTTCATGGGGTCGGAGATGTTACACCGATATTCTTTACGTATTCAGGAGGGTACATACTATGTCGAAATCGGAGAGGGGCAAGCACAAATATGATGTATATGGCTTTTGCATGGCTTTGCAGGTAAATATTCAGCGTAACGTAATACGTGTTAGACTTTTTTATGAAATGTATAAGTAAAGTTTTTTTTTTTTTTAATAATTGTTGCAGTTGTGGGCATATGAGGCTATCCTTGCTTTGGGTAGCAAATGGACGATCAGAAGGGAGACCAGTTGCCCACGAATATTTCATTGGCGAGCACATGAGAAGCCATCGGCTAAAGATTTGACAGCTATCCTCGACGATCCTCAGGTGAATATTATATATTTGTTATTTATATTGTATGTACATTTACTCGGCTCGATACATCCTCGTTAACACGTTGAAATATGATATGTCGGCTCGAAATTCATGCTGAGTTGGTTGTTTCGATGGAAGAGGATGATCAAATATATGTACATGAAATACATGTTCCACCTACCGAAAACGATCCATTGTTTGAGTCTGTTTTGGATAAAAGTAGGGTACGTTTATTTAAGATCATTATTTATTCTGACTTATAATACTCATGTGTGGATTATTAATATTAATTTTCTTCTCTATGTAGGAGTGTCATCCAGTAGAATGACGAGCACTTCCACTTAGGAGATATCCTTCGCCTCCACCGATGAGATCACCTCTACCGCCATTATCACATTCTCCAAGGAAATCTCCGTCTCCCGCTCCCACTCACCTCCCACGTGGATCGCCTGCACCCAGTCAGACCCGCCATTCAAATGATTTCTTTACACGCATGAATGGTATTATTAGAGAGGAGCTGGGAACGATGCGACGTGATTTTACGACAGAGGTAGTAGCACTACGAGAGGAGATAGGGGTGCTGCGACGGGATTTTACGACAGAGGTAGTAGCACTACGAGAGGAGATAGGGGTGCTGCGACGGGATTTTACGACAGAGGTAGTAGCACTACGAGAGGAGATAGGGGTGCTGCGACGGGATTTTACGACAGAGGTAGTAGCACTACGAGATGAGATACGGGTACTGCGACGAGATTTTACGACAGAGGTAATAGCACTACAAGATGAGATTAGAGTGCTACGACGAGGTATAAGAGACCTTCATATTGAGGTTGTAGCACTTCGAGGCGATGTAGCAGGCCTTCGAGGTTCTGACAGTAGACATGACAGAGGGAGTGATGGGGAGACTGGTGTTCCTCGAGACTGGTGGGCAACGGCTGTAGGAATCGATGAGTTTTTTGATTCGGTGTCGGAGGCCGGGAGGGAGGGGGTGGAGATCGGGTCGGAGGTGCCGGAGGAGGCCGAGATAGAGGGGGTGGAGGGAGGGAAATGGGTACTGGAGGGAGGGACTAAGAAGGTAGCGGAGGGGACACCAGAGGTGGTAGTATAGGGGGATGAGGGGGTTACGGAGAACGCCAGAGATGACGAATGATGATGTAGTATTCGTGTCGGAGGGGGCGACGGAGGTGCAGAAGAGTAAGAAGCATGCTAATGACGCGTCAGATGGTCGATAAGAGATCGAGATTACTGTTACAGTACATCGTTTCCCCATACACGGTCGAGGTGAAGAGAAGGGGGTTTGTGGATGGGACGTTCTCCAATCTTTTTTGCGATGTCGACCCGGTCAGACAGAAGGCGTTCGATGATTGGTTCAAATCCCTTAAGTCTAAGTAAGTATTTTATGATTTTGCTACTCTTTTTTTGTATTTTTCGTAACTTTTTTTCATTTTTCAGAGATAGCTATACCATCGGCTGTATGATCGTGCCCAATGCTAAAAAGTGGTTCGAAGATGTACTGACAACCTTAGTTTGGCTCGCCGATGATGTAAGTTTTTTGAGTTTCCATTTATTATGTTTATAGAAGTTGTTGGTTCATTTACTTAAAATGACTCTATCTTTTTTATTGGTGTTTTTTTGTTTCAGCATATCGACTTGGCTATGGAATTGTTACGCGATCGGGCTCGGAGATACCCAAGATCTTATGACAGTCCTAGTCGAGTTATCCTGAGCTCTGAGTTTGTTCGTGTCGTAGATATTGAGCATCACGAGCTCCTAAGTAAGGGGAATGAATATGTTCTGTCTGAGTACATGCTGGAGTGGGTGATTGGGCTACAGCGGAGGTGCGGAAAGCCGTGGACGGATTGTACACATGTGTACATTCCCGTGATCGCGAACTCACATTGCTTTTCAGTGGAGATCGTATTTGCTGATTTCACTATGTATGTGTACGACTCTGATCATAGCTGTCTGACACAAAGTCAACCGGAGCAAATACTGGAGCCAATGGCTGTGATCATGCCCATGATGGCTTGTTATGCAATGACTCGATTAAATGATAGATTAGCCATTGTGCGGAACATGACGACGACAAGACAAGAAAGATCGTAAGGATTTAAAACTTTTTAATTTTATGATTTAATTTTCAGTTATATGTTATCGAACTAATATATTCTTCTTCGGTTGCGGGGAAACTGTGGCTTATTTGCAATAAAGTACATAGAGTTTTTGAGCATTGGTCGCAATGTTGATACAATAAATCAGTTTTGGATTGATATGTGGAAGCATAAATTAGCTTGTGACTTGTATGAATATAAGTATGATCCTTAGTGTATTGTATATTATTTTATTAAAATGTAAATGTTGTTTACTTCAGTATGATTCGTGTTGTAATGTAATAATTTTTTTAAATATTTAATTAGAGAAATACTTAAATGAAAAGTAAGTGCTATTATTCTTATTCAAATAAATAATCGAAAAAAGTAATTAAATATGAAATAATTAATATACGTACTAAGATAATTAACAAAATGTTATTATTTTAATTTACACAAGTAATCGAAATATAGCAATCAAATATTAAATAAACAATATACACATTAAGATAATTAAAGAAATATAATTTTTAAAAGAATGTAAATAATCAAATATACATGTCAAATGAAGATAAATAATGAAAGAAATACTTAAATGAAAACTCGAATTAAGTGCTATTATTTTTATTCAAATAAATAATTGAAATAAGTAATTAAATATGAAATAATTAATATACGTACTAAGATAATTAACAAAATATTATTATTTTAATTTACATTGTTGTTGTGTCTATAATCTCTCCATATTGTCAGTTAATATATATCGTTGTCTCACTTGTATTAAAAGAAAAAAATAAAATATTATTATTTTAATTTACATAAGTAATCGAAATAAAACAATCAAATATTAAATAAACAATATACACATTAAGATAATTAACGAAATATAATTTTTAAAGGAATATAAATAATCAAATATGCATGCCAAATGAAGATAATTAATGAAAGAAATACTTAAATGAAAACTCAAAGTAAGTGCTATTATTTTTATTCAAATAAATAATCGAAATAAGTAATTAAATATGAAATAATTAATATACGTACTAAGATAATTAACAAAATATTATTATTTTAATTTACATTGTTGTTGTAATAAAAAAACACTTAACCAATTATACATAACCAATTAAATATTTAACTTCTATAATAAATCAATTATTAAATCGTAATATCTAAATCAATCCTTTTTTTTTTATTCAAATATGCTGTTAAAAAGAGTAATTAAACAATGTGATAAAGATTACATCCGATTTAAATTGAGAAAATAAAAAACATATTACAAATAGAGAATACATATGATTTATATAGATACTATACATCCATCGAGTCATTGATTAGTAGGATCTGACTTGTACAAAATCGACGTGTATGTCATGTAGTGCCCGTACCTCCCGCACTTACACGGTTGTGGAAACTCTCATATAGATGGTATTCTAAACGTCCATCTACGACCAGGAGTATGCGGTGGAACTTCAGATGGCAACAAATTATTAAGTGCTACAATATAATATGGAACTTCCCACCCGGCTTCATTTCGTAGAGGAAATATAGTTTCGGCATACGCTGCTCTCCACAAATCAGCCATGTAATAATGATTGCATAAGCTGAGTGATGGAAATCCTCTCTACATAGCCACTGCGACAGCATGTGCACATGGAAAACTCTCCAACTGAAATTGTCCACACGTGCAGGTATTGTCATTCAAGTCTACAATGTATCCAACATTACGACCGCATCTCACGGAGAAGCGAAATTGATCTAGTGGTTCCACAAATAGAGCTTTTGCCACTTCTAGAGTTTTGAATAGTTGATCTTCCTGCGTCGGAGCTAGCATACTCGTACAATTCTGGGATTCCTCACGTCGGTCATAAAACCACTGTTGCAACTTGCTACGAATATGTTCAATCATTGTGAGAATTGGTAACTCTCGATCCTTCTTGAATAATGCATTGAGAGATTCCGCATTATTCGACGTCATCATGTTGTATCGACGTCCTGGAAAATGTGACCGTGTCTAATGTTCGACCCCCATATCTGATAGATATTCCCATGCACTTTCTAATTTATGTTCTATTTCGCCCATGAACTTCGTAAACTCTTCAGAGCTGTAAGCTTCTGCAGCTCTCCTAAACAATGCAATGATGCAACTGCCCCGGTACCTAGTCTTCAGGTTGCCCTGAATGTAGTACATGCAATAACCATGATGTGCTTCTGGAAAAACTTCGGCTATACCATTTATTATTGACTGCCCCCGATCAGTCACAAATGCAAGGTTCTCAATGTCCCCAATTACTTCTCTCAGCTTTGTGAAGAACCTACGCATTGCTAGATCAGTCTCTCCATCGACAATGCCAAATGCAAGGGGCTAAATTTGGATGTTGACATCTTGACATGTAGCAATAATCAACTTCCCTTCATATCTAGCTTTTAGGGCTGTACTATCAGCTAGAATTAGAGGTTGCATCGCATTTTGAAAACCTCTAATGCATTGTCCAAGAGCCAAAAAAATACTTGAAGCGATTTTGCCCATCGGTTTCAATAAAAAACGCCGAGTCAGAATTAGTTCTCACCATATTGTGGCAATACCTAGCCAATTTGGCGATCTGGTAACTCATAACCACCCCATACTCCCGACGGATGTCGTTGATGATATCTGTAGGTCTGTAAATCGTCAATGGGTCCTGAAACTTGTGTATTATCTGTCGACCAATAAACCATGATCGAGCTTGCCTGTGATCATTTTGACGAATACCCACTTCATAAGTATGTTCCCGTGCATACTTGCGAGCTACAAAGAACTCATTTGTGTCCATCTTTGTCGCTCTCAAACGCCAACTGCAATTGCTAACCACACAAATAATTGTGTGTGTAGACTTGTTTGATTTTTTTATCTTAAACTCAAAATTATGTTTCATTGCAATTAGGTGCACAACTTCTTGCAAATCTCTTTTCGTGTCAAACAATTGATCGACACGTAAATCTTCATCATCAGGAACTACACACGAACAATTAGAAGACCGTGTACTCGGCCCAGCATGTGAACTCCCACCAGACTCATGTCTCTGTCTAGATAAAGCAATCAAATCCTAATTTGTAAATGACCTTTCATCCTCATTGTCTTGAATTTCCTCGTAAATCCTTTGTGTAACGGTAACATCATGGTGAGTAGCAACTCTCCCGAGAATAACCACATCATCATCACGAGCAATCTCAACAGTATCCCAAAAATCATTCTCGTCACGATCCTCTCCATCGAAAACTTCTACCCTCGGGGATATTATTCTTCAACAAAGTTACACAAATAGAAGTCGTCTTTCGACCATGGTTCAATTGAATTAGATGCTTTATTTGCACTTCAAAAGTAACTTTCAAAGGTGGAATCGAAATTGCTGAATGCTTTTGAAATAAAAATCCCAATTCCATATCGTACTGAGAGAAATCGACGTTAAGCATGTTTTGTATTTCATTGTACATTTCTGTAAACGATGTATTTTTTGTTATCGAAATAGCAGCAACCCCTTCTCCTTCACTCGTCTATTTCCATTCCCATTGACCATTTTCTTTCCTTTAAAATTCGCCGAAGTAACAGATTGGGACACATGTTTTTTCCATATCTACATTACGAATTAAAAATTATCAGAACAAAATAGATTAGACGCCAGAACCAGGGGGGAAGGTTCATTATGAACGGACCGGCCGTCAGTAACGGACGAAGAATTTTCGTCTTCGTTCGTTACGGACTGTTTGGAGTTCCAGCGTCAGATCGGTGCCGGCCTGAACTTCGGTTCTAATATTATTTTCTCTACCATTTAAAAAAATATACGACTTAAATAAAAATAAAATTAAATACTAGGAAAAGATACTTACCGAATTAAAGTGCTGAAATTTAACGAAATATTTTTGTTGAGGTTGATAACTGATAAGTTTATGAAATTTTGAGGTTGAAGTGGATGAAAAATGAAAGAGTTTTTATCGTGTTAGAGTAAACTGATGAAAAGAAGGTATTCGTTTGCAAATCTCAATTGACAGGTGTTTGGATTTTAATTTGTAACTTAAGGATATTTTTGTCTTTTTAATAGATTTCTATTTTTGTAATTGTATAACTCATTTAAGGGTATTTTTGTCTTTTATACAAGAATAGGCCTTTGTGGTGAATGCCAAATTTTTTTGGTTAAAGTGAAAAATTGGTTGTTTGATATGACCAAACTTAAAAGTACCCCACTCCCGGTGTACCGACCCCCTCACAATAGGGGGTCCACTATTTTTTTATTCATTGTGGACCCCCTTTTTTGTGAAGGATCGGTACATTGGGGTGTCAGTTGACAAGTATCAAAATCCTTTGCATCACCTGTCCAGATTAAGAAATCTAGACGGCTGCATGGCCTAGCGTCTAGGCGATTCTATAATTTTCTTCCTTATTTGTCTAGACGGCCCAACCCTTTATTTATTTAATTAATTTTTTTATGAATGTTTAATTTAATTAATTATTTTAATATTTAATTAGGTATTTTAATTGTATATATATTATTTATTTCATATTTAATTAATTATTTAATATATTTATTTTAGTTATTTAATTTAATTATTTATTTAAAATTTCATGAATTATGTTAATTGTTTATGTATATTTTTTATTTAATATTTAATTACTTTAGTTGTTTATTTTGATTATTTTAGTTGTTTGTATATATTATTTATTTAATATTTAATTAGTTATTTAATTTATTTATTTTAGTCACTTATTTTGATTTGTGCATTTAATTCTAGTCGCTGTCACGTGTGTTGCACGAATTTTGTATTTATCATATTTTTATTAGCGTATGAATTTTAGTTTTTTGGAATGTTTTTAAAGCAATATTTTGAAATGTTTCTATGATATAAGAAAATAATTGTAAATTATTACTGATTTTTACAATTGCAGTATTTTGTCATAGCTAGAAAAAATATGCTTGAATAAGAAATATATGAGGTTAAACAAACTATTTTACTCGTATTGTTGACATTCAATATTTGACAGTGTTGATATTATTGAGTTGAACTTGAAGATTATGTTTCTAAGTCCTGTGTTAGTCCAAATAAGTTGGAAAATACTTGCATTAAAAAAATTGAAGATTCAACCACAAAGTTTATTACCGAATAA